TTTTATTACATTCCGTGCTAACATGCAGTATTCTTTAGAGATCACTGATGCTCATAAAACATTAAGGGTTTTTAGTCAGTAACCTTCGTGCACGTAAATTAGGGTTTTTTGTGCTGATTGATGTGTTTACAAGTAAATCCAAAGGCTGAAAATCAAATGGCACAAATTATGACAGGTGACCTTTTCAATATAACTTTCACGTCAATTTTGTTTGCCAATTTTAATATTTGTCTATGCAAATTATCTGTATTAGATATAACCAGAGTGAAGCCTTTAAACTCATACTGTCTTGAAGTGTCAATTTTAATTTTTATTCATTCATTTCATTCATTTTTTTGAAATCTTTGTTAATGTAATTTTAATGTCAACTGCTGAGAACGTTAACCAAAAACATTTAATATAGTCACTTCGACGGGTAAACTAATCACAACGACGTATTAAAAGGTTATAGTGCCAAATTTAGAAGTTATGTCTTTCATTCCGTCTTTCGTTCTCCAAGTTTAACTTTACTTATATATTTTTAGGATATGCACTTATATTCTTCATAGGATATGCACTTACACACCAAAGTATATAAAATGTTAACACCTGTCTGCCATAAATTTTCAGTTACCAGTTGCCTTCGTTATCGAAGAAAAAGCATAATCTGTAAGTTTGCTAATTATATAAATAAATTAGCATTAAGTTTAAAAATAAATAATGTTTTCTCTTCTATAAAAATATTATAAATTCCATTCTGAAGTTTTCGCAATTTCAAACACCTTGTATGTGCAATTTATGGAAACTAGTAGTCTTCATATCAATAGTTTAATAAACGGGTGCATCAGTTGTGGCTTCTTTTTGTAATAATATTTCAATTTTTTTAATTTCATTCAATGTCTCTATTCACACAAATATGGACTAAGTAGTATGTTAGGAAAGGACAGCTAAACAGAGAAGTTACGCATAATAATTCCATGAGTCCTTAAGTCTGATTATGTAGACCTTGTCATACGAATGTGAATTGAAAGCAATTGTCACTTCAATTTGAATTGAAATGTATGTGATACTGTAGGAAATGGAAAGTTTTGTTTAAAAGTTTAAAATTAGGCTCATTTCATGTTACTTAATTTATGCTCGTATACATGTATATACTTAATTTTAGAGTTATTAATTGAACCAATTCTTAGTTGAATAAAGCTATCAATAAATGTCTTATGAATGCAACAACTATAACAATTAATATGAAAATGGGTCATCTCATTTAATACAATGTAAGTAGTAAAAACCCAAAATTGAATTAAATACAAAAATACCGGATATGCAACAATTATACTAAAACATTTCTAATTTTAATAAAATCCTCATGCTCTGAATTATAAGACATCAGCCTCCCTCCCCATCTGTTTGCCAAGGCATTCTTAAACAGAATTTAATTAAAGCATTCCTGTTGTCATGGTCATGAATCGAGCCAGAATCATATGTACATGCAGCGCATGCAGTGCGCTGTAATTATCGCACGTCACAGTCTTGATTAGCATACCCATTGCCTTGTATTAGGCAAGTGCCGATGCTGGCTGGGGAGGCTCCTGTCACCATTCATTTAATTTGAAAGAAATTATGAGAAACAATGAAAATTAAATTCGCTGACACAATCATTTAAGTAGTTTGATTGCTTTAAATTAGTCCCAACCACACATCGCATTTTATATATTTTCTGGAGATACATTACTCAGCTATATGCAAAATGACATGTATACCGCATCCTTTGCGGATTTTTTTTAATAAAAATAGATTTATATAATTGATGTATATTTTAGCTAGTATACAAATTTAAAATTATTCAAAGGAATTTTTTTTACATTAATAAATTAACCATTAATTATTTTCTGATACATTTCTATGTTTTATCATATTAGGATAGTGTGGCTAGATGTAGTCCACTGATAAATCTATGGTCCCTAGTGATTAAATATATGTTAAAACTCTATATAAATTTGAAGAAGGCATTTTTGCCTACTTTATTATAAGAAATATGTTACTTGAACCTCTACTTCTGCGGTAGAACTTTTCTTAAATATTTTTTATAGCATTTTATAGACCTCAAGGATTTAAACCTCAGACCTTATATGTCATAATTCTAGTTCAGATGCATTGTTCTATTAGTGTGATCTTTATTCACATAAGACAGAATAAAATGAAAAAATGTTAAATTAGAATTTTGTTTGACATATTTAAAATTTAAACCCTATTTTAATTTATTTTATAAAAAATTAATAATAACTGAAAAAGACAAGACAACTAATAGATGAGTTGTAGGAGAATAAAGGGATCAATAACAACTGATTTATTAACATAATATTTTTTAAAAATGACTTAAGGCTTCCAATGATGAATTATTTCAATATAAATATTTAAAGTTGAAACTTTATAGGGACTGACCAAAGTATCTACTTTGCATTCTTGCAATAGGTTGTACACCAGATTATTTCTTAGTCAAATTTACTCCAATTTGATCAGATAATGAACATACGAGTTGCTTTTCAACCAATTTTTATGTTTAGTTTTCCTTGAAACAAATGCGTCAACTGCTGTCTTGTCACATTCTAAAAACAAAAAGGCTTCATTTTAATCGCGAAAATAAAAACAGAAGTAACTAAATTTTATAACGAAAATTACAGTTTTATAGTCCGTGACAGAATCACGTAGTAGCAATAAAAAAAGGTGCGCATGAGCAATACTGGACTTGTCAAATGTGGACGAAATCAAAAAAATCATAAGGCAAGTCACGACACATTTCTCTGCTCTTTGCCACAAAACATTACCAAAACTTGTCAAAATTAAACATTTGCGTATATGCAATTCAACACACAAAAATCCCATGAACAGATAAGATTTATTGTAGGAGCAGATTTCAGATACAATGAGGTAAAGATGCAGCATCGACATTGCAAATTGGAGTTTAAGTTTTGGTTCTATTCCGGTTCATGGTGTTCACAGCTTATCAGAGTGCGAATCGCAAACAACATGTATGTGGCGGCATTATCTTTCAAGACCAGTAGTTTGAGTTGCAGTTTTAATTGCACTTAAAAGGTTTCTGCACAAATCTGCCTGTTGTCATTTCTACAACATCTTATTGGGGTGTTGGTTAAGTTTTCAGCTTTCAAGGTACTGCATTCTGATGCATACAGATCAATTGAACATCCTTGAATCTATTCTTGGAATCAATGCAATTGTTTAATGCTCTTGGGAGAATTTCAAATAGTTTCTCTTTTATATGACAGAAAATAGCACCTCATTCTTGGAAAGTATTTATCATCAATCACAGACAAAAAAAAGATAATAATTATAATTATAAATTATCGACTGACTACGAGCACCTGCCGACGGTCAATACCAGTCGCGGAAAGCATAGCCGCTAATAAAGTATGAGGATTTTTTGCTGTGACTTCTGCACGTCCGGCAACGGCTAATTAACGCCATGCCTTGAAGTTCGAATAGTGCGTTGGCTAGAAATTGCATTATGCTCTATACCATAAAGTCTCCTTCAATCAATCAAAATCGTAATTGAACTCATTTGATCAACTACCGCAACTCAAATCTTGCCACTTGCAGTTTTTATTGCCGCCTAAGCAGCAGCAATTGCTGATTTTCGTTATTATTTTTCTCTATTTTCGAAGAAAAAATAAACAATCGCAATTTAACAAGCACTTAACGCTCCGATATGTCCGCGGTGCTGCACTTCATCAGCACCAATAAATACAATGATGACAAATCAAACCTCCTGCGTTGCCACCGATCAGATTGTAATGGCTGGCGTGGATAGTATCGCAATCGAAAGATGTGTAAAATTTGGAAAATTTCAAAAATTCACTCTGCTGTTGACAGGTTTTTGTATGGCAGAATTGATGCCAGGGTTGTTGTTGTTTTTATTGATGCTGACGAGTGCGAATTTATTTGTTGGTAAAACATCTTTTTTGCCAAAGTTGGTTATACTTCGATCAATTATTTTTAACAACTATACTAAAGACCGCCACGACACTTCAGAGGAATTGAAAGTTATGGGATGTTAATTGTGCTGAAAATATTCACAGCTTTTTGTCATCACTTGTTGTGATGTTTAATTTTAACCAAGATCTTCAAAAGTGGGTTAAGTATCAATCAATGGGCGGATTAATTTATTATTCTACATATTGATATATGATTCAATCGCATGTGAACATTATATTAGATTTCTAAAATTATGAGCAAATAGATCTGTTTTAATAATAACATCTATACTGAAAAAATATAAAAATAAAAATTTATGAAAAACTTCTCCTTCATGTTTGTAAAATCAATCTACAAAAAAATTTTACAACTTTGTTGAAATGAATTTTTGAATTCAAATTTCAAAAATCCTTTCTTTATAATTGCCTCTAAAAAGACACACTGAAAAATTTGAACTGACTTTTAAAATTCAAAACTGATTATTGATTGTTTCAAGTAGAATTAGTATTACTAATACTATGTTTACTCTATGGTACTGTACGATTCGTTCATAAAAATGACCGAAATAATTGCTGTATCATCATAGAAAGTTCGCGTTTGCCTTTGGAATATATTACGTTAAAGTTATAACTTATGTTGATTAAGGAACGTCTTCCTCTAGACTGAAATAAAATCCAAGGAAAGTGTGGAACTAAACCTGTAGAATATTTAATGCAAAAGACTCATTTTCTATGTTTATTTTTCTATTTTAGTTTTATTTTTCTTTATTTTTTGATAAAATTTAAAAATTGATACAAGTGCATATTTGGTGCTTTATATTTAATTTAGATAAACTATAAAATTTAATTTTATTTGTTTTTATGACATTGAAATAGATTCTACTTACGTATATGCTTTGATATTTAATTAGTAAATATTAATAAATGAATTACAAATGTTTTAGGAGCTTATGTAATGTGTATAACAATTGATGATAAATATTAAAAGCAAAAGTAGAACAACTTAAAAGGATGAAATAATCAACAATGGAAATTATGTCCTTAGGCTTATCACAAGAATACTGGTATGATTTTACTAAATTGATTATAAATATTATTTATTTACTAGGCGCATATTAATACTAAATATGTAAGTAATTTTTTAGGTTGCAACACTTTCCCCTTGTTCCTTCACTGGATCGACTTTAATTTCACTCATTTCTTTCACTTTGTGCTCTCCTCCGTGAGTGTTGTTCATATCAGAGACTTTTTCAACTTCAATATATTCATCATCGTCGCCGGCGGTAGATTTGTTCTCCGCTTCAAATATTTCTTGTTTTACTTCAGGCAAAATTGCATGCACCGAATTTTTCGGTTTTAGTTCTGGTGGTGTGCTATCTTCTTTTGTAACTCTTTCAGTGTTAACTCTTAGATTAGGTATGATACGTAGCTCATGTTCAACAAGATGATGGTCCAACTCGGCGCGGAAATAAAACTTCTCTGTGCATAAATTGCAATCGTAGGGTCTTGCATTAAGCCCATGCTCCGTCATATGGTTCAGTAGACCACTAGGCGCAGTAAAGACTGCAGAACATATGTAGCAAATAAATCCACGATCTTCGCAGCCCGCAAACGTGTGCTCAATTAAGTGTTCCTGCAGTTTTTGCGGATGTGGTAATATCATTTTACAGAGATTGCAGCGGTTATCTATGTAATGTGGACGCATTTCAGATGTGCGTTCGAAGCTTTCACGAGGTTTGTATTTCGAATTAAGATTGTGTTTACGACAACATTTCTCACATACTTTGGCATCTGCAGTTGTATTTGGTATGGGCTCTAGACAAAGAGCGCACGCAGCTTCTGGTACGTTACTTGATTTAGTATGGAATCTAGAATATTTAAATGATATTGGGTATTACTTTAGTGTACTGAATATGTATTTCTGGTGGAATAAAATAAATTACTTTACTTACTTTGCATGTAGTCCAATCTCAAATTCTGAATGTAAAGACTGTCGACAGCAAATACATTGTACTGGCATTTGTGCCTCATTATTATGCTCAGTAAGGTGGGCTTTGAACGATGCTACATCACACAACGGCTTGGCGCAGTGTGAACACTTGCCTGACTGACCTACTTTGGAGTGTTGCAATTTGTGTTCAGCTAAAATGGCGGGAGATGGAAATATCTCGTCGCAGATTAAACACTTGTGTTTCCCGGTTGAGTTGTGACATGTTTTCATGTGATGTTCCAACTCGCTACGTGATTTGAAATTTCCCGAACAGTAGGCACATCGCAAGCTTACTCCAGTTTTCATGTTGTGCACTATTTTACGATGCGAATGAACTTCTGCCTCTGTACGAAAATCGTTACGCTCACACATCCCGCAACTGAAGCCAGCAACTGGAGATGTTGTAGGTTCATTAGAATTACGGTTGTGCTGTGAGTCCTGTTGGGATTGCACGTTACTTGCGTGTTTTGGACTAATGAAATAATTTCCTCCGTTATTCTTATCTTGATGGTGCTGTGCGTATATATCCATCAAGGTACGATTAGTATCAAAATAGCGCTGGCTTAGTCCGTACATGAGGGCAGGATGCTTCATGCTATTAGTGTCTACTTGTAATGGACTGTAGAATTTTCCACCAACTGCAGTTGTGTTGGTGGTCGGAAAAAGTCCCTTGTTAAGATGTGCAGCGAACGCAGCATTGTAATCTAAGATGCTGTTATTATTATTTTGCGCAACTAATGGTATTAATGGAGTCTTTCCAAAAAGTGCATTAACGTATAAAGGATTCATGGAACCTATTGTGTTATTGTTTGGCACGGCTGTTGGTGAGTTATCTTCAAATGACTCTTTGGTCGTGTCAGCTACTGTCTCATTTCCACCATGATGACTTTGCATATGGCGATCAAGCAAAAATTCAACATGGAATGTTTCCGGGCAAGAAGGGCAACGAAATTGTCTTGCGTGTGCTGCTAAATGAAAATGCATCTCTAGGTCTGAAGTACAAACTGTGCGGCAGAACATGCACTGTAATGAGTTGTTAGTCATTGTGGTGCCATTAGCAGTTTGATGTCGAGTTTTCACATGCATATTGAAATCTGGTTCAGCGCGAAATACCTCCATGCAGGCGGTACATCTCAATAATTTAGTTTCAGTTGAGTGTGTACAAGCAAAGTGCACTTGAATTGCTACTTTAGTTTCAAAAAGCTCTGCGCAAATCGCACATTTGTACATAGGAACGACGTGCTGATCCAGCAAATGTTTTTGCAACTCCTCCGGCTTTACGTAGGTTTTATTGCAATTGCCGGCACAATTGTACTCGGAATTCGTAATTAGAAAATGAGATATGACATGTCGTTCGTATTCAGTTTGTTCGCGCAGCGTTAATCCGCAATGGTGGCAAACGAGGTTTAAGTTCTGTGCAATGTGCGACTTGAGGTGATTGCGAAAACTGTCGAAATCAGGTAAACCTGCATTACACTGATTACAAAAGAAAATACCGGGCTTATCAAGGACTTGTGGTGAGGTGCGTGGGGTTGTGGGAGTAGCTGATCTCCGTTTATTTTGACTTAGATCAGTAGGTTGATCCTCTTGTTTTAAATCATTGCATTTTGGACTTGGCAATGATTGCTCTACTTTAATTTGATGTTCATCTTTAGTCGAACGTTGCAGCGATGTTGTTATGGGTAAACGTGGACTAAACGTGCCGGTGGCTGCTAAGCGATTAAAGTGTTCAAAGTATGAATTAGGGCTAGTGAGGCGATCGATGTGTATAGTACGCATATGCTGGAACATCGTTGGAATATTAGGAAATTTCATGGTACAATATTCGCAGGACAACTGAAAGCTGTTGGAATCGCTACCTAGTGGAGGAGCTTGCGCTTGTGTGGGCGTTAATTCCTTATCATGCATACTCTGTATGTGTGCGTTTAATAATTCTAGGGAACTGAAGTCTGATTTAGTGCAGTAGTTGCAGTTTAGGAATGTGGCAGGACGTAAACATTTTGGATAATCCAAATGGCTAGGACTACTATCAGAAGCTTGAGTTAAGCCATATCGTCGTTTATGAAGGCTATTGTTACTAGAAGCAGATCCTGTTGAACGAGGACTATAGTTTAATGCTTGAGGATTGCCGCCTGCAGCCAATAAGGCAGCTTGCTTTTTATGGTTCTGCATGTGAGAAGTTAACGCAGCAGCAGTGTTATAGCCCCTGTTGCAAATAGTGCATTGAAATGGCTTCTGATTGTCATGAGTTTTCATATGAATCTTCAAATGATCACTGAAATATAAATATGAACCAATGAAGTGGATATTATCCTTATAACGAATTTGGGGCAAATATACTAATAATATTATAACGGTTTAAAAAATTATAAAAATAAAAATTGAATAACTTACAAATGTAAATAATTATAAAATTCTTTAAAATTACCTTCTAGAAAAAGCAGCTTCGCAATGGGGACATCTGTAGCGACGATCTCCAGTGTGTAACTTAGTGTGACGATCTCTGGAACGTTTATGTTTGAAAAGGCGTGCGCAATATTCACATTTGAAAGGTAAATGTTCTGCGTGACTCTTAAAAATAGATAAAAAGAATGAAAGACGCACATGTAAATTACCATTGATTCAAATATTAAATCAACTGAATGAATTTTGAAAAATGTAAGCTTGGGCTTTGCCTAAATTTTATTGCTCTATATATTTATACGCAAATCATTTTATGGATATGTCTTCAAGCAAAACTGTAGTAACTAATGTAATTCAAATTTACAAAATATTATATTTAGTCTAGAAATGTAATTGACATATCGTCAATTCTGATCGCTACAGCCATATTATTGCATTCTTTGGTGCAAAGTTAAAATTTAGTACCATATTATAAGATATGAAGTTTAACAGGGCGGGTTCACAAGCCATACAACAGGTTCTATTTTATATATGTTTACTTTTGGACCCAGAAAATAGACAACTTTGTACATTTAAAAATATAAAAACATAATTGCAATAGATATATCGGGTCACCATATGCTATAGTCAATCAATATCATTCATACTTGAAATTTTCTCTGCAGAAGTAATTCTTTATTAGGAACAACATTTTGAAAGATTAAATAAGGCGGCTGGGGTCTTTAACCGGTTCAGCGTACTAATCGCATTGTAATATTAATTGCTTAATATTAAAATACAAAACTTGCAATAAAGGTAATTAAACAATTAAATAAGCGATTTAAGGACTTTGAAGCAGCAATGATAAAAAAAAACGGATTTATTTAGTTACTAGATAAATAACTAATAACTCAATTATCATCTGTAAATAGTTTTTGCTTCTTGTTACTAAGAAGAAGATAATCGTTCGTTAACTAAATTAAAACTTATTTTCCTTCAAACTGTTCTGTTTTGAATTATGTCAATAGCTTTTGTCTATTCTTTCTATCCTAGTTCAAGCAAATCTTTTGAATGTTTTAATTAATGTAATCGCCAAAACTTAGCAATATGTTCCAAGTTATTATGATGCTTCTGGTGACGAGATTACCAGATTACCAAATTGTCAGATTCCAAGATTGTGGAAGTGCGAGTTTGTACGATCGCAATAGTGCGAGTTTGCTGACTCGGAGTGTCATCAACATTTTTATTTAAGTTTTTCGACGATGGTGCACAGTTTAGTCATTTGGTTGGGATTATAAGTCGTATGACAACGTAAGTTCTGCTACCATTGCAGGTACTTAAAATTCTAAGAATGTAGGATCACATTTATAAGCAAGACGAGTCTGCGCATTGAGAACTGCAAGTGCAACTGCGTGCAGTTATAGGTTCACCTCTGGCTTGACTTATTTATGATCGAAGCGCTAGAAACGGGCAGTATATAAATTTGTGTTTAAAGCTGTACCGCAAGCGTATCGACAGAGCAAACATGCAAAGTGCAGAGTGAAATACAAAGCGAACGACGAGCGGCAGACGACAAAAGGCGAGCGGCCGTAGGTGGCGTTGTTCTACTCTTTTCAAGCCGCTTCCAAGCAGCAAGGCGTACCGTGTTGTAATTATGGTTATCGTTATGTGTACACATCAAAAATGCAAAATTTTGGCGTAAGCAATACAAAACTAACTGGCGTAAGCTTTTGAACTAACCGCTCGGTAATTGTTGGTGTGCTTTAAACAGCACCAGAATCATTCGAAAAATGTTTTAGACACAAAAAATCTTACCAATTCGCTTCGTACGGTAGCGCTAAATGAATCCATTTGTATGCAGATCGGCAGTGCTCATTGCACAATACAAACGAGTTGCCGTGTTGATTATTGTTTTTTAAACTGCTCAGCAAATCATAACACATCAAGAGCAGACGTGCGGCAATGGCAGGGCTTAACAACAAATGCTGTCACACCAACAACCACAAATGAGATAAAATCTGTTAGCCACCATCGGCGGCTATAGAAGCGCAGACTTAGACTGCGACGTTCTGCCAGAGTGTCACTCAATTTATGTCTAAATTCTTCGGGACAAAATAAAAAAGTTTATTTTTTTATCAAAACGTTTAACGCAGACCGATTCAGAAATGTATTTGTGGAATTTCGAAAATCACTTAAAGTGAGTAACAGAGTGTCGAAATATTTTAAGAAATGTTTGCAAATATCATTGCTTGCTATAAAAACGAATACTGGAATAAAACTGGAAGCCAACTTGCCAAAATCTTACTTACTACTTGTGATTCCTCGTGGAGCGAGGAATACAATCCTTTAACTTTGCAGGTTGGTATTCACAACAGTGTTACAAAATATTTTAAATTCATCTTAATTGATTTTTTTCTTAGAGAATCTAAAATAACTGAAAATTTTTGAAGGTGCTAAGTGCCTTCGAAAGCAGTATGCAAAAGCAGTTGTCTCCAAAAAAAGTTGAAAACTTGACATAAACCGATTAAAAGTGGAGAAAAAAACTTCAAATTCATTTGATGTGTGCGATTCTTACACCCTTGGGCGCACCCATTTCAACCCTTTCTACCATTAAATAGTATTTTTTTCCACATTTCACTTACCTGTTCATGCTTTTTTAAGTAGCCAAGACGTGGAAATGATTTATCACAGAACTGACACTGATAGGATCCGTCGGCGCTATTTTTAATACCTTCGCCTGTCAACTTATCTAACTTGGCTGCATCCCGTTCAAGTTTCCGCAGTTTAGTTGGAATTTTCAGTGCATGCTCTGCGTGACGATGATGTCGTCGTTTTAATTGCTCAAAGTTTACTCCACCTTCAATGCCACTGCAGTCTCCATTACTGCGGTTTTTACCTTCTACCTCAACGCTGCTTTTATCGTACGCTACCTCATTTTCGTCTGCTTCATTGTGTCTATTGCTAGGCACCAAGTCACCATTGACTTTGCTGACGTGCTTCCGCAGACGCTGTGGCTGCGCAATGTCTTCTTCGTTGGTGTGCGCCAAGTGGGACAAATGTTGTACGGGCAGATGATGTAATGAGTTGGGTGTTAATGTACCATCCGAAATCGATGGTGAATAACTAGATGAAGTGTGTGTGGAATACATATCTGTAACAGAAAATAAAATACTTTAATTACTGATAAAGTCATTTGATCTATTTTCGCAATGACTGAGGCTGTTAATTGACTAGCTTAATCAGCACTGGTCTTAAGTGATAAGGCAAATGGCTTGGTGTCTTCAGCGTAGGTGTTGGCTTCCTTATTAACAAACAACGATCAAAAATATCTAGAACCAACATGAAACCAACAGGAAATATTACTACACTTGCTTATCGTATGAAATCAACTATCGCTAATTAAATTAAACGCTGTTGTGGGACTTCATAATAATTACTATGATAGAACAATATTCACTAAGATGCTATTGAAATGATCACTGTTCCTCCGTCTACATTAAAATGAACCGCATTAGCTGTGAAGAATGAAAATTAAGAAAGCGAGAAGAAGCTCGCGTACTCGCGTACTTAATTGCATGCAAAGCAATTGTCTGCGATTGATCACTTGTGCGGCGTTAATTGTTTGTGGCACCGCTTTCTGTGCTGAACCACACAGTGTATCACTCGCACGAGACATGTTCACCAACCCATGTCAGCCTCCCACCATTCAGCCATTCAGCCATTGAACCCCTGCAACATTGGGCCACTGAGCCGTCGAGCAATATGATTTAATGACGTTTTATGGTTCTAATTGTTTTTATTACAATCCTCATCGTTTAATCTTAAGCAATGAAGGGAAACTGTAATTAAACCTTGTTATCCATCACATCTTAATTTCGGAGGGGTTAGTTAAGATTTGAATGAGCGGCTCCTACTTTGTATATCAAACAGATTTGAGATATGATTTGTTGATTGAAGATTTTTACCATTTTGTGTACCCTTTTTTGATCTGCAAATTGAACTTTAACTTCTAATACAGATTTTTATTTGTTTTTATTTTTTAAATTATGAGAATTGAGAATATAAAATAGGAGACATATATCTCCAAGCGTTAGTAACTTGATGATCAGTGGAAAAGAATTTCTTGCTTACATGTGTTAGGAGTCAGGAATTAATTAATTATTAATTATAAATCGACATTATTAATTTTATAAATAGTGTTTGGAAACTCAGGAATTGCGGAAGACTTCAAGTTGAGATTTATAACAGAATCAGAATTTAAAATTTGAGAAGCTCTGGAGAAACATTTATGCGTACATATTTATCAATGTAGAAGTAGAAGTAAGTATATATTTAAATGTTACATACAAAATTTTAAGTTGCTATGAATATCCCAGCGAAAATAATTGTACATTTAATGTTCTATATTTTTTATAGAGATAAACTAATAATGAAGTTTATCTATATTAGCCGTGTTTATTTGGATTGAAATTATTCGAAATTCACATTCTACATCATCGATCATCGATTCATAATTATCACATCAAAAATATCTGTACAACGTTTGAATTATCTTTGATGTTTTTTTTTCAGTTTAAAATTCAATAGCTCGGGAATATAAATAAATGGACAGTTTACAATACATGAGTTTAAACATATGTAACAAGAATATAATTCTCTTTACAAAATAGTGTTTAATAGGTCCGTTGTTAGTCCAAAACTCCATGTAAAAAGATAATGTATTATCAACCAAAGTGTGATACTTCACATACTAATTTGGTATCCAAAGTAGTCGTATATCTATGAAAAAGGGTTTAGTTTGACAAGTTTTATTTATTGTTTGTTTATTTTTATCGTAATTGTTAGAAGTAGAGTCGGCATATCGGAATTCTTTCAACACTACTAACCATATTCCAGACATTAGAAGTTGTTAATTTTTGAAACAAATTCGACAGAATCAAGTATTAGTTTAATACTAAAAATAGTGTGAAGATAGTGTAATTTTTCCAAATCTCTGCATTGAAAATTTGTATAGTAATAATATATAAAGTTCAGTTTTTAGAAAAAAAAAAAGGTATGAAAAAATATTGTTGAATACTATTTAATTTATTTGAAACATCCAATATTTGTTGAAAATTAAAGAAATAAAAATTAAAGCTCATGTAAACTCCGGTAAAATTAATTATTTCCTCATTATTCAACGCCGGCGGAACTTCACAAAACTTGAGGACTTGAGGACTTTGCAAAGTTGTAAAGTTTGAAATATATTTGATGACTTCTGTTAAATATTTGTTATTATATTAATTAACTATTCTTTTTATTGCACATAATACTAAAATACTTAGTTAGAGAAAAAAAGAACAATATTCTAAAACATGTTATGAAATTTAACAACACATTTTTAACAATTTAATTTTAATTAAAATTTATACTTCACAAGAATAAACTGTTATGGTATTATCTATATGGAAACACCAAAAAATATTTTACTTGAATCGATATTCATAAGGATATATTATTTTGTTTTTATAGTTAATTAAGAATATTTACCAGTATTTACAATTTCCTTTGTAGCTTGTATTTTTTCAATTAAATTTTCAAGTCTCGAACTGGGTCCACGATATAACATTTTCAATGCCATCATGGCTCCAAGCATATAGTTTCATTCAACGAAATTTATATTATATTTCACTCTTTTTTCACTTTAGTTAAACTAAATTGATCTTTATGGATAATATTTGAATTGATTAAAATACCGCAATTAAACACATTCTATTAAATTACAGCAAGGATCACATTGGCATTGTTTGGTTTATAAATTGAGATGAATTTTACTATTTTCTTTCTCTAGTAGTAGTTAACTAACGTCCAAATACAGTGAGCACCAAATTATTACTAAATATCTGCCAAACGCATTGCAACGTAGTAAACCCACAACCGAGTTGGGACGCAGTTTACGCTTATGGTACTTTGTTCTAATGATGCCATCAATAACGCTAAGAACCGTCAACTAAACAAAACACAAATCCAATAAAAAAGCGTTGACAAGCAGTAAGCAGTAACAACACGTAGCAATGGCAGTAGCAACAGCAATAAGACCGAGCGAAGGAAGTAAATAGCTACCGAATTCCAATTTTCACGATTACGAAGTGTTGAGGTGCCTTTCACAACACCACACAACCGCAGCCCAGCATTACTAACGAACATGCACACAATAAAACTTAAAAAGTACCAAACGTACGCATAATTTACGAACAAAAACGACAAAAACGACAAAAACGACAAAAACGACAAACAGCGACACACATCTAACGCCTATGAATGACAATCGACGACTGCTGGCATACAGTTTACTCGTTTGCGCATTGGGATTGGGACGCCATGGCAGAACCTGTGTGAGGGCACGAAGCAGTAGCAGCAGCAGCACACCACAGCAAAACGCTGCAAGCACTTGGGTCCAGATATGAAGATTGCACAGCAAGGCGGCATGTGTCTGCTCTTAAATGGCGCCCACATACTGCCAGGCAAACAATATCAAGCAATTGGCTTTTAAGCGTGGAATACTATGAAATACTGTAGTTGGAGTGGTGGTTAAATGTTGTGTGTGAGTGAAAGAGTGCTTATGTATTTAAAAAAAGGAAAATATAAGTTTACATAGTAAGATTAAGGCGGAGCATCGGCACATCAATTGTGTTGTTTTTGTAATTGCATTAAAAATTGCTGCAACATACAAATATAAATATATATTTATTAGGAGTTAATTGATATTTGGGTCGTTGTTATACATATATTGGCCTAATGGTTTGCTGGGACTGGTTTTTATTGACATTCGTTGTCCGCAGTTTAAAAGCTTAATGTAAAACTGATGTTACGCTTGTGTTCTGCATTTGAAAGAAATAGAACCTTAATAAAATGACAGTACGACTTTTGAACTGACTTTTTATTTAGGTAACATAATTCTATCTTTTCTCAAAGGTAACAAACATATTTTGCTATTGTGAACAGTTTTATAAAACCTTTTATAAAATATATATGTTTTATGTATATATTTTTAACTTAAACTTAATAGGATATAAGCATTTGTCCTAAAATAAATATGTTAGATTAATTGTTATAAGTAATTCCAAAAAACAAAATAATTTTTAAAATAGTTATGAGTTCGTTAAGAAAAGAAATGTATAATAAAACAAATAAATTTTGAAAGTTCTATTTTGAAATACAATGAATCAATATCACACATCTTTCTGTTCTCCTTAAAATTGCTTTCAATTACGATAAGTATTTATTAAAAGTTCTAAAGTAAAAAGTAATCACTTCTAATTGAAATGTAAGAAATTATTTTAATACATTTTATGATTCGATATTCATCCTTGAATTTGCGGTTTTGGAATAAAAAACAAACAAAAATTACAATCTTGAAATTGTAGTTGTCACTTTTAATTATTTTGCCACCATTTTTGCGGTATTACGAAACCAGTCAACTTTTTAACTTTAATTTGCATTTAACAAAAATATCTGCGACAATTTAAAAACGTTTTGCGTTTATTATATTTTATATGCACACATGCAAAAAACTCCTCCCTCACAGCTTACAGCTTACAGCTCACAGCTCACAATTTCCTATTCAATAGAACATTTACACATAGAGCAAAAATATTTTAAATGTACAGGATCGTGCGGCTCCTATGTAGTTCGGAGTCAAAACTAAATGCACACTTAATGGACAATTTACACGTTTACACCATTACAAAATTCATGGCTAAAACTGTCACAAGTGCAGGAAAAATAGAAAATTGAGAAAAAAACATTACTGTTGACAGTTACTCACACTTTTCTCTTCAACATTTTTGAAAAAATATATTAAAGCGGACATACATCAACGAAATTTTCAACCTACGCAAGCCAAAGTTAAAGTTGCATTAATTATGTATGAAAATCCTTTATTTGTTGTTGCTTTTTTGTGAATAAATTTGGTCTATATTCACACACAAACGTGGTTTGATACTACATTGCTTAAGCAGTTAGTAGATGGATGTGCGCTGCTTTTTACATTATTAAGTAATTAAACTACTTTATTAATTATTTAAAAATAATTAAGCGCAACATTTTACTTTTCATAAAATTTTTTCTGAATATAAAGGCCGAATCTCTTCTTGCCTTACATTAACTTATGTACAAATTTTGATTGGCTGTTTTCCATTTTACTGTATTTTTATTGTAGGCGGAGCCACGCATGTGCTGTTTGCTTTCTCGTGCCTATGTAAACTTGCTTTGAGTAAACTCGTGTAATATGTTAGTTTATGTTTATATTTGTTCATATGCTTTCTATTTGGTTTTTCGTTTATTGGCATGTGTCAATTAAAATCGGTTTGCTTTTAAAGTATTTACATTTTCTCTTACAATGTTTTTTGATTTGTTTAAGTCAGTACACGTTCATTCATAGTTTGTTGCTTGAATCTTTAGATTCAAATGTGCCGCATTTCTATACCGAGAGAAATACCTTTAAATGAAAGTAAGGAAAAAATGTTTTTATGTTTCATTTTATGGATATTTTATAATAGAATTAGACTTTATTTGTCGTAGAAAATCTACAATTCGGATTTTTATGAAAAAAATTAATTTAAGAAAATAAATTATTCAATGAAAGCATATCACCTAGTCAATTATTATGGGATCACTTATAGTTCATCTAGCACAAGTTATCTTAACAGTTTATGGAAAATATTTGCATGAGTTATAGAAATTGAAATTATTGGAAATAATTCAATCGCATATAAATAAGAAAAACTTTTGGATTTGTCGAAGCTCAGAGTTTTCACTGTGCTATTCTGGCCAGAACACGAGTTATTATGTTAACTGAATATAAATTCGAGCTGATTCTTATTAATTTATAAGTTGAAGTGATATTACTTAATATAAATTTCAAAGTTTTGTTTTGCGATAATTTCATTGCCACTTATTTCACTTCCGAAATGGCAACGTCCGTCTTGGCGTTGGAATATATACAATATTATGTATGAGTTTAAGTATATTTGAATATATATATACATGTATGTACATCGTACTACTATATTATATTTTTCCAAATTCCAAACTTATAATTCTATAATCTAATTTTAATGTCACATTCAGTAACTGGGTTGATTGAGCATAGTGAAACTGCGATTGCCGTTGGATTGCTTATCGGTTGTCATATGCAACAATTGGACATAAGTCCTATTGTTGCATTGTGTAATTGTCTTGAAATGGTACTTCTTACAAGAAAGTTGGTTCTTTAGATCAGAAATCAAGTCTATATTTGAACGTGATAGGGTATGCGTGTAGCGATAAATGTACTTCCAGTGAATAAATTAAAATATTACTAAGAGAATTCTTTATTACTCACATTTTGTTATGTAAATATAGTAAAAATTCTATCAAAAATAACGAAGTAGAAAGTGTAGTGATGAGAAATATAATATAAGGGAAAATTATTTTGATGAATTAATTAAGAATGTAATTTTATTTTTGTAGTTATAAGCAGAACCAATGTTTGAATCTTAACATTAAAATTGTAAATTTCGATCTTCAATTTTTAGTGCAGCTATGTTAGTATATAAAAATAAAAATAATAAGTAATAAATTTCTATGCCTATTGGAATAAAATATTACATCATTGCAATAGATGTTTTTTTAATTAATCTTCTTACACAATATCCATAGATAATGATTTGAAGTATTTGCTGCATTAAAAACTGAAATAAAGAAGTCGGAGGAAAGATGAATAGTTTTATAAAATAAAGTTTTCATTTCTAGGCTATGTGCTTAAGTAATTCTACAAACAGAAACAAAAGCGAAGAGGATTGATATACAAAATACAAGAATCTATTTTTCATTTCGTTACATAAATAAAAACATCACATTTTGAAATATTATTGAATTAGCAAAAAAGAATTGTTTTAAATTTTAAGCAAAAGTTTTTACTTAATAAAACAACCGAACGTTCCCTTTGCCGCGGTAAATTGGCAATCCTGAAACAGGCAATCACCTTAATTGACATTTTAAATAAACAACGAAAAATGTCAAAATATTTTGGAAATACCCAAAACTATACAAATTTTTCAATATTCATTAAAACGTGAACCCACAAAAGTGGGCCACCCTTGTACATTTTTGGGTTCAAAAGTTTTCCGAACGAGTTCAGCTTCAGTCGCTAATTGTGACAACACTTATTCGAATTGTTTTTTTATTGTTTTCCTACTTTTGTGATGGATGGAAAGCTGCATACTTTTTGTGGACGTCTGCTGAAGAACCTGTACTTTTCGTAATAAACATTAGTAGAAACCGTAGATTTTCAAGTTGCAAACAAATTCGTAAATAATAACGTGAAAATTGAAAACAATTCCGGAATGTAACAAACTCAAAATGTTAATTACACTTGAGTGACAGTTCTGACTGGCGACAGCGCCGTTAATGGTGACGCAGAGAAATCGGATTCTTTGGGGTGGCGGACTCACGCAACTAACAGAAGTGGAAAAACAATTGCCTGTTTGAAAGAAACCAGGTTGTGAGTGCCACTGGCGGAAGGGGTAAATGCTATGTTTTGTTGTTGTAGATAACTAACAAAGGTGGTCGGTGGTACTTAAATTTTTAATGCCCAGCCACAACAGAGGTACAGAGGATTTTGTATTCACATCTGCATTGCATTACCTTTTTGTATCTAAGCTTGTAGAGATACTTTTATTAAGTGCGCTAACGAAGTTGTTGTTGTTA